AATGAGAAAACGAAAAAACAAATATGGCTGCAGTGGCTAACATTCATATTTAAATATAATTCCTTCCTCCTCCTTATAAAAACCGAAGATTTTATTAATTATTTTGAGGTGGGTTTTAAGAGGGGATAAAAAGGGGGGGGGTTGTGGGGGGGGGGGGGGGGGTTAATGTAACCTGAATAGAAAATGCAATTTCAGATATAAGCATTAAATACATTTTGCATTTTAGTGGTTTTTGATTAAACTTCAAAATGTCATAATAAATCAAATTCATCAGAATACAACCTAGACTAGAGGGGGCCCTCATATCTGGTGGAGGTTTATAGCAGAGCTCCATGCACTTGCGAAGTGGAGCCAAATTACTACATTGCTTAGAAAAATTGGTAATCTATCCATCCAAGAAATTTTGGTTATGATGTCAGCATATAACCTTCCATCCTTACAGATGCTGGGGGAGGGGGAAGGGAGTCTGACATCAGCCCGACTGGAGGTAGCCTCCCACGCAGGCTTTTTTAGGGGAGCTCGAGGATGAGCTCCCCTAAAAACGTCTGCGTGGGAGGCTAGACTGGAGGAGGATATGTCGTGTTTTCTTGGGGGGAAAACGTGCTTTTGGGCAACCTGCATTTTTCTATCTCCCCTAAAGTTAACTGATTTGTCCAGACTACACGTTTATTGTTTGATTTAAATTATGAATTTGGTAGCAGGAACTTTGCTTTTACCCCTGGCTAAATCTATATATTAATTGGATGCATTTTTTTGTTTACAGGTAATGGGGCCTATAACTTGTGGGACTTATATAAGTGGCAGGTTACAGTATTTTCTTTTGTTGCCTACATTGTGTGATCTGCACATGTATAAGAAAATAATGTTTTGTTACTTAACTATAAAAGTGACTTAATCACTGTTTTCTTCCTTTATCTGCAGATAAACAGAAGAATATGAGCAGATCAAGTGAATGGAACAAGAAAATAATAATTATTATATTTTTATAATAGTGACTTGTAACAGTATTTAAATGAATGACCTCAAAATAGTATTTATTACCACTTAAGCAAGGGAGGTCAAAGTCCATTCTAACTTATCTGCAGTATTGCTGGTTGTTAAAAAAATAAAGAAAGAAAAGGAAAAAGGACTTGTTGCCATTCACTTTGCTTACACTTGGCCATGTCACAAAAAAACACACGAGTTTAAAGTTAATACCATTATTATCAGCACTTCCATGACACCAAGACTTTTGTCATGATGATCGCTTTTACTGCCAATAGATCATTAAATCACTTCATACTGCAGCTGTACTGTACCTAAACCAAAACAACAGCTCTGATCATCACCATTGTTACAGCTTGAAAAAAGAGGCGACATTTCATCATGCCAACATTGGTTTCCCTGCGAAATGACATCTGATGAACTACTCAAGAAATTCCATACTGATGACATGTCACTCTGAGACCCAGATCCTGGTAGCGCTTCTGATTAGGGTTGACTATTGGGTAAATTTAAATTATTGCATTATTTTTGTCTCACAATAGGTCACATGGATATTGTGATAGTATTGGTATAGTGGAGGGACTACCCAGATTGTGTAATCCGGATTTCAAGTGACAGGGATCATCGAATGGGGGCAAAAATCAAAACCAAAAAAACTCCCTAGGGCTTCAAACAAAACCCCCAAAAAATCCTTCAAACCCCCAAAAATCGGCCGAATTTCTGAGCCATAAAAATTTATTGACGGAATTACGCCACCGAGACATGTAGTAACTTTCACAAATCTTTAGATTGCTTTGAATACCCAAAAAAATATTGCCAAAATTTTTCAACCCAAAAATATCCTGAAATTGAAAATTTCAAACCCACAAAAATCCTTTGATTATTCCTGTCACTTGAAATCCAGAAGCATTGTGGCATGACCAGTCAGAAGCACTACCCAGATGTGGGTAGTGACAGGTCATCAGTATGGAATTTCTGCACTCATTTCTTAGATGTCATTTCAATGAGAAACCAGTAGTGGCATTGCAGTGTCATCTCTTTTCTCAGGCTGCCATTGTTACCATCACTAATATCACCATCCAACAGCGTTGCCTTCATTGCCATCATCATCATCATCATCATCATCACATCACCATTATAGCACCATCTCCAGCCACATCACGACACCACCATCATCATCATCTTGCCATCATTGGTGCCAATATCACCACCATTACCATTATACCATACACAGCTACAATAAAAAATGATCAACTTCGTTCCCTTTGTCTTGGCCAAAAGCCCAACCATCACCACACCAACAACAGCAAAGCCATTATTATCATGATTATAAATAATATTACCCATCCCTGTCCCCTCCAACAACACCATTACATGGAAAAATATTGCATTTTGACTGTCTTAGTTTCATCTTCATTAATTGAGTCACTTTTCTTCCGCACCACTGTCACTGTCATTATCACTGCTGCCCCGATCACCTTCTTCCCATGACTCCCATCATCATCACATACACAGCCCCCTTTAACCTTCCTCATCCCCCATGACATGCTCGTCCATCTCAAGGTTTACATCCTCTGGACCAATGATGATTTTATTGTCTGGGAAACTCATATGATGCAAAAACCATGATTGAACTGCTGTAACAATCCTGAGACTAACATTCCAGCATGTTAGCCAATCAGTTCTTCAGTCCTGCTTCTTCCTGGCTCAGCTACGTCAGCTGGCACACTTCACGAACAGCAAGGACGGCTGGTGACTGTCAGTGGACCATTATCAGATGTTTGCTAACCAAAGCAATCTGTCTACAAACAGTGAAACTTTTCAGCTGTGGGACTAACAGATTTTTCTCCTTCTGGAGTTTTATGATTCATCTTCTTCCTGCATTTCTTTTATCAGTCTTTTTCTTTCCTCAAACTGTCGAAGTTTCATCAGCACAATACTTTCATAATCTTTGTCTGATATGGTGCTCTCTGATGGACAGGGTGGCTCATTAAGCTGAAAAGTATGTGCAAAGTGCTGGTCAGTGACAGTTCAAAGAATAAGGGAAATAAAATCCCTATTAATTAAATATGCGTGTATTTTGTGAACAAGAAAAGTAGCCTGTTGCTTTCAGTTGGTAGTTATCTCAACTCTTGTCCACCTTCTGTAGAGGTGAGTGTCTGGGACAAAGGCCTTAGCTATGTGTAGGTTGGCATTACCCTGGCCTGCTAGCAGGAGGTTTCCTTCCAGCCTTCAACTACCATAAAGTTCCAAAAGTGACAAAAAAACCCTTGTTACTTTCAGATTTAGCAGTCTTCTTCTATCACTACTTTTAGAGGGTCATTACCTTCAGGTGGTCACTACTTTCAGATAGCTAAAACATGTACTGTACATGGGCCATACGAAGCTAAGGTAATAATATGGTGACAAATGTGACAACATCCCAACTTTTTATTTGGAGAGTTCTATTTCAGGTTACTGATCTTTACATAAAAATTTGAAAGAGTTGTTTGATTATGGTATTCACCGACGAAAGGATGACATTTTGAAAAAAAGATGTACCTTACAATGTACCTTAAAAAGTTACAAAAAGAACTGTTTTCCATAAACATGATTTTAAATCATACTATTACCTATTAAACAGTTTACAGGGATTATAATTTCACTGACATTAATGTTACACTGTACCTTAGATTCAACCATGGCTTCCTTTGCAGAATTTGATGCTTCAGGGACAGTTTCAGAGTTTGCTTTGTCAGTTGCTGATGTTGGCACCTCCAACCATGAGATTTTCAGAGGGTTGTCAGAGGTGCCTTGCTCATTCTCCAATGCGACTTTCTGCAACAGATATATCCATGTTATTGACTGTCTCATGCTTCAACACAGGGGTGGATCCGGGGGGGCCACCACCCCCTCATAATTTTTAGATTAAAAAAAAGGCCAGAAGGGCCAGAAAAATTATTTTTGAGACTGTACCCCTGCTTATCTCAGGGTCTGGATGACCCCCCCCCCCACCTCATATCTGAAGGCCTGGATCCACCACTGCAACATATACACCTACACGTCATTGAAATTATGTTGTCATAAAAAAACAACAACAACAACAACAAAGAAAGAAGCAAAATAGGAATTAATTTGCCATGCATATTACTTGATATTGTAATTTTTGATAACCTGTGACAATAAACTATTGCAGTTTATAATACTCCAAATTTATTTGAGTTGAGAGATGAGAAATTGTAGATGTTTTTTGCTTCATTTTTTCTTCAGACCAGATCTGTGAATGTGGTGTGACTGCCTAATTTATTTTTATCTAGCTTTCTTCAATTCCCTCTCTCTCTCTCTCTTTTTCTTATTTTCCAATGACAACGTTTTTGCAATTAGGTGTAAATGGCAGATGTCAAAATCATGTCTGTTTTTTTTTTCTGAGCACTAATTTTTTGTGCTTTCCTAGTAAAGTTTGGATTGTGTCCTTTTCTTTATCCATTAAGCCTGGAACCCAACTCCATAGTAAGGGAACAAGATGTGCAAAGCGAGCTGAGTGTATATTTTTGTAAAGAATGGGTTGGAGGTTCAACTCCAGGGGAGACTATTGCTATAAAAGAATTGTATCAACTTACTGCACTGGACAATGACTTGAATTCCACAATTGCACTTCCTTTCTTTTTAGATGAGACAATCACATAACTTACTTNCTCTCTCTCTCTCTTTTTCTTATTTTCCAATGACAACGTTTTTGCAATTAGGTGTAAATGGCAGATGTCAAAATCATGTCTGTTTTTTTTTTCTGAGCACTAATTTTTTGTGCTTTCCTAGTAAAGTTTGGATTGTGTCCTTTTCTTTATCCATTAAGCCTGGAACCCAACTCCATAGTAAGGGAACAAGATGTGCAAAGCGAGCTGAGTGTATATTTTTGTAAAGAATGGGTTGGAGGTTCAACTCCAGGGGAGACTATTGCTATAAAAGAATTGTATCAACTTACTGCACTGGACAATGACTTGAATTCCACAATTGCACTTCCTTTCTTTTTAGATGAGACAATCACATAACTTACTTCACCATACTATAAAGTTAACAGAAAGCAAACATGATTGTATTATTACATAAAAAAGTAATGTACATCTACTAGTTAGTTAACAATTAATTTTTGTGGTATAAGCTTTAAAGAGCTACACCGTAGATGAATGTAAATATTGTATCAATGGTGAACATTATAGTGTCGGAGAAAAATGGGAAACCATAGAGAGAAAAATAATAAATTAATAATTATTATTAATTTATGGTTAATGGAGGAGGTTGAGCATGATAGCAAGAATTATTAAGGCCGGGGGTATAATAGATTTTTCTAATAATAATAATTATAATAAAAATTAAAGTGCCAGAAATAAATGTTTCTATTTGAGGTCAAACGCCTGATCAGATCAGCACCGAGATCAAATTCTTTGAACTGTACTTCTTGCAATCTGTATTAGGTGGTCACCCTGTATTAAGCGGTCACTTAGCCATTTCCCGAGGGTCACCGCTTAATACAGGTTCAACCCTACATGTAATGCCTGGCAGAATTGTTAGCCAGTCAAAATTAAGATAGTAATGGTGCATAGTAATAAACAATTATTGGATGAGGCTTTTGTGATATCCGCAATAATCAAGGTCGAAGTAAGCTTATCAGCAGATCGGAAGGCCAAGGCTGATAACACCTACCGAGACCTTGATTATTCCGGATATCACAAAAACCGAATCTAATAATTGTTTTATTATACATTGTTTTGAAATAATTAAGGACAAATACACCATCGCACAGAACCTTGCTCTTGGAAATCATGCATTGCGTGTGCAACCTACAGATTATCAGTTATCTGCTAGCAGATAACTAACTAATCTGTAGAGTGCGCTGATTTCCAAAATTAACTGTAGGATCTTAGCTAATAAGAAGATAGATAGAGTGTACAATGCACAATAACAAAAATTATCAGTTATTTCAATTATCAGGTATTATCATATGACTGGCACCTTTTCAAACAATGACTGGAGAAGCTCTTGTGAGTATCCTCCGTTTAGAAGATCAGATTTCTTGCTTTTCCACCTCACCTAACAATAAGTCAATATTTATCATCAGTGCTCACATTATTTGATAATTATTATTCGCACCATTTTAATTAACTATACTTAATGTTATCATTTTCTATAATGGTCATAAAAACAGTAATTCTCATCTTCTTAGTACTGTAAGTACACGTACATTGTTGATTCAAATTAATACAATACACATTTTTTCATAGTAATAATTATCATAATAAACATTGAATCATTCTTTCCAAATCAAGAATTTTGTCTGCTTTGACAAAATGACAAAAAATTTCATATTCAAAATGAAGACTGTCGGATAAACAGTCTGAATAGTATTNATATGACTGGCACCTTTTCAAACAATGACTGGAGAAGCTCTTGTGAGTATCCTCCGTTTAGAAGATCAGATTTCTTGCTTTTCCACCTCACCTAACAATAAGTCAATATTTATCATCAGTGCTCACATTATTTGATAATTATTATTCGCACCATTTTAATTAACTATACTTAATGTTATCATTTTCTATAATGGTCATAAAAACAGTAATTCTCATCTTCTTAGTACTGTAAGTACACGTACATTGTTGATTCAAATTAATACAATACACATTTTTTCATAGTAATAATTATCATAATAAACATTGAATCATTCTTTCCAAATCAAGAATTTTGTCTGCTTTGACAAAATGACAAAAAATTTCATATTCAAAATGAAGACTGTCGGATAAACAGTCTGAATAGTATTTTTATTTTGCTATTTTTTAAATATCAAATCAGACAAAAATTAATAACAAAATTAAAATGTAGTTACTACTAGGAACATGTAAGATGAACATGAGGGTCACATACCTTCAATTTTGGGGCAACATCTTGATTGGAGGTCTTGTCTAAACTACCTTCCTTCTCTTTGTTTAACTGTTGTTTAAGAAGTTCTTGCTGTTCTTGAAGAAGCTTTGATCCCTCCTCTCTCAGCCTCTCAATCTAATGCAAATCAATAACATGAGTTTATTATTCCATACGTACACAGCGTTGTCAACTCTCCTAGATAATCCAGGAGACTCCAGATTTTGGACCATATCTCCCAGTCTCCAGATTAGGGTAAGAAATTTCTCGGATAATCATCAAAGTTTGCCATTTCTTGTAGACTCAACATTCCGACTATAAAATTTCAAATATTTTGCATTATGTGAGCTATAATAATGTTATCATCGAACGTTTCCTCATAAACTCTGGTATACTATTGTGATATAATAATAATGTGATTGGTGGTAAGTAAACCAATCAGGTCAAATGTTACAGTGCCAACAACATCTTTTTCACACATTTTGTGACAGTCATTGCAAATTCGGGACAATCAGAGTCAACAAGTATTTTTTGTACAAATGATGCTATGTCCCGTGCATGATGACATCATCTATCATCCCCTCCCTACCAATTGTCAATATTTGAAGACATAGGGGGGTTGACAGCCCCAGTACAGTGCAAATGACATGTAAGCAACAAAAAAAAACATTCAGACATGTTTATACACTGTAGGTTGTAATCACTGAAAAAAAAATAGGGGCATATGCCTGTTGTGGTTACCCCATTAACTTGTCATATTAAATACATAAAAAAAATTGAACCAAGAGCAAAATAAATTGAATCACAATGCACTAATAAAACTGCACAAGTGTGAGTTGCAGTATTACAGATGTAAGAACGTAATATTTTTACGTGCCTTAATAGGATGAAATTAATTTGGGGTTAAATTTTACCTTAGGTAGATTCTCCGTTTCCTAATGGTTGACCGTATGTTTAGCAGACAAAGGAAACTGAGAATCCAACTAGGTTCAAAAATTTTAACCTGAATTAGTATTAATTATAGCCCATAATACATTAAACAGTGACATTTGTCATGGCCATGCCATTTAAAGTCTAAGTGGAATTCCAGGCCTCTTTTTTATACTTAACAAGTTCATTAGAAGCATAATTTCAGTGGAGAAGAGAAGTCTCTTATGGTTGCAGCACTATGCACATATATCATATTATTCAGCTCACCTCAGCCTGTAAATTTTTGGCAGCCATTTCATCATTTTCTTTATTAACTCTTGCAGCATCCTCTCTTTGTTCTAGATCTACAAAACACAAAACATTAAGTTAGTAAGAATGGCATAGAAAACAAAAGTTATAAAAAATTAAAATAAAACTCTGGTCCATTTGCAGGGAGAGGGGTGTCTGGATTCCAATATGTCCAGTATGTCCCTAGTCTGAAATTCAAATATGGGCATTTCACATTTTGAGGAGTAGGCTATGTCTCTGTCGATATTTAACCCATCTCATGTTGCCTTTTCATCTAGTCTCATGTTGCTGTTTCAAGACCATCATGTCGCTTGTCAGAATTTTTTCCTAACAGGGTCTCATTTATCTATTCATTCATTTACGCTGGTCTAATACAAAAGATGTAATACCTTGTTTGAACTTCTTTCTCTTAGCACCGGCCTAGCACCTCATATATCTATTCATCCATTTATGCTGGTCTTATGCAAAAGATGTAATACCCTGTTTCAACTTCTTTCTCTTAGCACCTAGCACCTCACTTATCTATTCATTCATTTAGCTGGTCTAATACAAAAGGTGTAATACCCTGCTTGAACTTCTTTCTCTTAGCATCTAGTGCCTGTGTGCGTAGTCTTGCTCGTTCTTTTGCCTTGAGAACAGCATCATAAGCAGCCTTAGCTTTTAGATCAGTGAGCACCTCCAAAGCCTTGGACAGTTCATGAAACAGTTCAACTGCTGCTGGATCATCTGGATTCTTATCCGGATGGCATTTTAGAGCCTTTTTGCGATAAGCTTTCGTGATCTGTACAAAAATTCAAGAAAAAGTGAAATGAAGTGCAATAAATCCATTTTAGTGCCTTTTTCCAATAAGCTTTAATTCTGTGATCTGTACAAAAACAAAGGGAAAAAGAAATGAACTCTTAAAACGTAATTAAATTCGAGCTTATGGAAAGTTTATTTCCACAATTTTATACATTGGCCTAGTCAATCATGGGAGCCAGGAAGTTGACAGTCAGAAATTTTAATAAAGACAGAGAAAAGGATTATTTAGTTTATTGTGTCTTAGTAAAGTAGGTATTTTCGCGGATGGCTCAGTGGACACAATCGTCCTTAAGACTTAAACATGTCCATGGTAAATGCTTCATTAAAAACATTAGAGTTCAGCTACGTTCATGGAACGCTTACCTAAAATTGTACGCTGTGGCTACATGGCCGGTAACCGGTCAAGGTTTTCAAAACACTAAATGGCCGGCAGTCCTATATTATCAGTAAATTTCACAAAATCGAAAGATTCTAGCTAATCTAAACTATCAGATGTCGATTGAAAAGTCAAGCGATCCTGAAATGCTTTACAGATCTCAAGTTTAGTGTTTGGTTTGCGCTGAGCTCAGAGGAGGAAATCATGTTTTGTGACACTTAGAAATTTTTTCAGCTCGACTGCCGGTCACGGTTTTCAAAACACTAAATGGCCGGCAGTTCTATATTATCAGTAAATTTCACAAAATCGAAAGATTCCAGCTAATGTAAACTATCATATGTCGATTTAGAAAAGTCAAGCGATCCTGAACTGCTTTACAGATCTCAAGTCTAGTGTTTGGTTTGTTTTGTTACACTTTTCAGCTCAACTGCCGGTCGAGGTTTTCAAAACACTAAATGGCAGGCAGTCCCATATGCTCAGTAAATTTCACAAATCGAAAAAATTCAGCCGTTCTGAACTATCATGATCCATATCGTGATCCTGATCGTGATCCTGATCAAACCAGCCGGTTTTGTGGGATTTCTATATCATGTTTTTGTTGACTTGAGTCCAAAGCATGGCGTAACAGGCGACGTTTGACATCATAACATCTTGACCTTTCATGCGGCCTCCGCGGAAAACTGGCGGGAAAAGTCTCTACTCGTTAGCTCCCTTCTGGAGCTGAGCTTGTTTCATCATAACGTCGACAAGATAATGTTGAAGTGTATTTCAGCTCCAGAAGGGAACTAACGCGTAGAGACTTTGATCAGGATCACGACTATGATAGTTCAGAACGGCTGAATTTTTTTGATTTGTGAAATTTACTGAGAATATGGGACTGCCGGCCATTTAGTGTTTTGAAAACCTTGACCGGCAGTCGAGCTGAAAAAGTTCTAAGTGTCACAAAACACGGTTTCGTCTTCTGAGCCCAGNATTGTTTTATTATACATTGTTTTGAAATAATTAAGGACAAATACACCATCGCACAGAACCTTGCTCTTGGAAATCATGCATTGCGTGTGCAACCTACAGATTATCAGTTATCTGCTAGCAGATAACTAACTAATCTGTAGAGTGCGCTGATTTCCAAAATTAACTGTAGGATCTTAGCTAATAAGAAGATAGATAGAGTGTACAAAGCACAATAACAAAAATTATCAGTTATTTCAATTATCAGGTAGTATTATATGACTGGCACCTTTTCAAACAATGACTGGAGAAGCTCTTGTGAGTATCCTCCGTTTAGAAGATCAGATTTCTTGCTTTTCCACCTCACCTAACAATAAGTCAATATTTATCGTCAGTGCTCACATTATTTGATAATTATTATTCGCACCATTTTAATTAACTATACTTAATGTTATCATTTTCTATAATGGTCATAAAAACAGTAATTCTCATCTTCTTAGTACTGTAAGTACACGTACATTGTTGATTCAAATTAATGCAATACACATTTTTTCATAGTAATAATTATCATAATAAACATTGAATCATTCTTTCCAAATCAAGAATTTTGTCTGCTTTGACAAAATGACAAAAAATTTCATATTCAAAATGAAGACTGTTGGATAAACTGTCTGAAATCGTATTTTTATTTTGCTATTTTTTAAATATCAAATCAGACAAAATAACAAAATTAAAATGTAGTTACTACAAGGAACATGTAAGATGAACATGAGGGTCATGTACCTTCAATTTTGGGGCAACATCTTGATAGGAGGTCTTGTCTAAACTACCTTCCTTCTCTTTGTTTAACTGTTGTTTAAGAAGTTCTTGCTGTTCTTGTAAGAACTTTGATCCCTCCTCTCTGAGCCTCTCAATCTAATGCAAATCAATAACATGAGTTTATTGTTTCATACGTACACAGTGCTGTCAACTCTCCCAGATAATCCAGAAGACTCCAGATAATTTTTGGACCGTATCTCCCAGTCTCCAGATTAGGGTAAGAAATTTCCCGGATAATCATCAAAGTTTGCCATTTCTTGTAGACTCAACATTCCGACTATAAAATTTCAAATATTTTGCATTATGTGAGCTATAATAATGTTATCATTGAACGTTTTTTCATAAACTCTGGTATTCTATTGTGATATAATAATAATGTGATTGGTGGGAAGTAAACCAATCAGGTCAAATGTTACAGTGCCAACATCTTTTTCACACATTTTGTGACAGTCATCGCAAATTTGGGACAATCAGAGTCAACAAGTATTTTTTGTACAGATGACGCCATGTCCCATGCATTATGACATCATCTATCATCCCATCCCTACCAATTGTCAATATTTGAAGACGTAGGGGGGTTGACAGCCCCAGTACAGTGCAAATGACATATAAGCAACAAAAAAAAAACATTCAGACATGTTGATACACTAGGTTGTAATCACTGAAAAAAAAAATAGGGACATATGCCTGTTGTGGTTACCCCATTAACTCGTTATAATGCATAAACAAAATTGAAGCAAGAGCAAAATTGAATCACAATACACTAATAAAACTGCACGAGTGTGAGTTGCAGTATTACAGATGTAGGAACGTAATATTTTTACGTGTCTTACTCCGATGAAATTAAATTTTGGGTTAAATTTTACCTTAGGTAGATTCTCCGTTTCCTAATGGTTGATCCTATGTTTAGCAGACAAAGGAAACTGAGAATCCAACTAGGTTTAAATATTTTAACCTGAATTAATATTAATTATAACCCATAATAACATTAAACAGTGACATTTGTCATGGCCATGCCATTTAAAGTCTAAGTGGAATTCCAGGTCTCTTTTTTATACTTAGCAAGTTCCTTAGAAGCATAATTTCAGTGGAGAAGAGAAGTGTGTTATGGTTGCAGCACTATGCATATATATCATATTATTCAGCTCACCTCAGCCTGTAAATTTTTGGCAGCCATTTCATCATTTTCTTTATTAACTCTTGCAGCATCCTCTCTTTGTTCTAGATCTACAAAACACACAACATTAAGTTTGTAAGAATGGCATAGAAAACAAAAGTTATAAAAAATTAAAATACAACTCTTGTCCATTTGCAGGGAGAGGGGTGTCTGGATTCCAATATGTCCAGTATGTCCCTAGTCTGAAATTCAAATATGGGCATTTCACATTTTGAGGAGTAGGCCATGTCTCTGTCGATATTTAACGCATCTCATGTTGCCTTTTCATCTAGTCTCATGTTGCTGTTTCAAGACCACGTCGCTTGTCAGAATTTTTTCCTAACAGGGTCTCATTTATCTATTCATTCATTTACGTTGGTCTAATACAAAAGGTGTAATACCTTGCTTGAACTTCTTTCTCTTAGCATCTAGCGCCTGTGTGCGTAATCTTGCTCGTTCTTTCGCCTTGAGAACAGCATCATAAGCAGCCTTAGCTTTTAGATCAGTGAGCACCTCCAAAGCCTTGGACAGTTCATGAAACAGTTCAACTGCTGCTGGATCATCTGGATTCTTATCCGGATGACATTTTAGAGCCTTTTTGCGATAAGCTTTCGTGATCTGTACAAAAATACAAAAAAAAGTGAAATGAAGTGCAATAAATCCATTTTAGTGCCTTTTTCCGATAAGCTTTAATTCTGTGATCTGTACAAAAACAAAGGGAAAAAGAAATGAACTCTTAAAACGTAATTAAATTCGAGCTTATGGAAAGTTTATTTCCACAATTTTATACATTGGCCTGGTCAATCATGGGAGCCAGGAAGTTGACAGTCAGAAATTTTAATAAAGAGAGAGAAAAGGATTATTTAGTTTATTGTGTCTTAGTAAAGTAGGTATTTTCGCGGATGGCTCAGTGGACACAATCGTCCCTAAGACTTAAACATGTCCATGGTAAATGCTTCATTAAAAACATTAGAGTTCAGCTACGTTCATGGAACGCTTACCTAAAATTGTACGCTGTGGCTATATGGCCGGTAACTGGTCAAGGTTTTCAAAACACTAAATGGATCTATAAAGAGAGATCTATAAAGCATTTCAAGATCGCTTGACCTGTCTTAATCGACATATGATAGTTTAGATTAGCTAGAATCTTTCGATTTTGTGAAATTTACTGAGAATATAGGACTGCCGGCCGTTTAGTGTTTTGAAAACCTTGACCGGCAGTCGAGCTGAAAAAATTTCTAAGTGTCACAAAACATGATTTCCTCCTCTGAGCCCAGCGCAAACCAAACGCTAGACTTGTGATCTGTAAAGCATTTCAGGATCGCTTGACTTTTCTAAACCGACATATTATAGTTTAGATTAGCTGGAACCTTTCGATTTTGTGAAATTTACTGAGAATAGAGAACTGCCGGCCATTTAGTATTTTGAAAACCTTGACCGGTTACCGGCCATATAGCCACAGCGAAAATTGGAATAGGCTCAGATTGATCAACAGGGACCGAAATTTGCCCTACCTAGCATCAAAAATGTATCTCTGAACTTAAAAAAACCATTAAAGTAATCATAACTAGCGAAACATACCTCTTTTTCGCTGCTGTCTCTCGACACACCAAGAATTTCATAGTAGGTAAGTTTGTCTGCCATATTGAATCTTCTTTATTTACATTTCGTGTACAGTTATATGGAGAATCCAAAATTACTTCCGCTGACAATTTTCCAGTACCTAGTTCGTACCCAGTACTTTATCGTGAGTGATTTGGTAAAAAAACATGGAGATTGTTCTCGACGAAGGGGTCCAATTTATTTTGACATTACAGAAGTCTTGGGATGGATGGGAAAAAGAGATGCTTTTCCTTTCAAAAGTTGGAGACCCTAGGAATTCCTTCCTGATCTATTTTCCTCTTGCGTACCATTTCAATCACAATTTAGGGGTTAGCGTTTTGTGGACAACAATCATCTCGGAGTGGCTGAACCTTATTTTGAAATGGTAAGATTATGGACACATTGGTGTTTTGCTCTGTTAAATCTACAGGTTGTTAAAAATTTCCAGTATATTCATTAAAATCTTCCGGCTAAACATGACTGAAACATTTTAGCTTTAACTACATCAATAACCCAGTAGGCCTTTTGCATTAGCTGATCACGTGATCAATTTTCGTTAAACGCGAAAACAGTTCGCTTTTGAAAAATTTTGTTAACACGAGCTGGAAGAGCATATGAAATTTTGGTTACCTGCAAATTTTCAGTTCGTGCTAACAAAATTTGTCGAAAGCGAACTGTTTTCGGGTTTACCGAAAGTTGATCACGTGATCAACCAATGAAAATGACTAATCTAGCCTTTTATTGAAAGCTAGGCTCGTGGTTGCTTTGTTTTGATAGAAACTTCATTGAAATTTCTGTCAAAACAAGGTCACCTCAAGCTGTGGTTCCACTCAGGGAAAGAATGCTCAGTACACAACTGTGAAATATCCTGTTACCTGAATAGTGCATGTGCCTTGTATTATAGGGTATTAAGAGGAGATAGGCCATATTGGTGGGTGCATGAGTCTGCTAAGTGGCAAAATGTGACCATTCAACAGTATGAACTGACTTGTGAGACTGGACCAGGTAAAGATAAATTAACAAGAACAGAAACTAATTTGCATGCATTCCTGTTGTTTGCAATCATTATCTTCTTGTCTTGTGACTTAAGGTGAACAAGTAATCTTATTACATGACTTGCCAAGCAAGAAAATCTGCTTGTCTTGGAAGACCGGACTATTACAACAATTTATTCTGAGAAAAGTTTTGCTGTGAGGTCCACACATCTGTCCTCTTCACATGTCAGAAGGGACATCCTCTCAATAGTTGTTTATGCATTCAAAATAATGATCCTCTCTGCAGACCATCTGAAAAGAACATGTCATAATAGTAAATAATAATATTTTTGGTTGATTAGCCTTTGATTAAGTGATCTTTTTGCCTGAACAAAAATGAATTCAAATGTACCCTGTGCTAGGTTTAAGAATTCCAGTTGCTTCTGAATGTTTGTTAATCTTCAGCTTTATGTAACATAACAGAGAATGTAATATCTAGTCCTAGTTTTGTTTCCCTGCGGGCATATATCATTATTTGATAATAATATTACCAGTAATTTCCTTTTTTTTTTTCAGGATCTCCATCAGGCCATTCCATGATCACATCTGCTGTTCTCTGTTTGTTAGTTTCCTGGCTATTAAATTCACTAAGAGAAAACCTTTTATGCAACATGAGTATTTTAGGCAGATTGATTGTTACGCTGTCATTGTGGGCTGTCTTAATGATAGTTCTTATATTTGTCTCAGTGTCTAGAGTCTTCATAGCCACTCACTTTCCTCATCAAGTCATAATGGGCACAGTAATTGGACTTATTGTTGCATTAGTAGTGAAGAATTATAAGACAGTTCTTATAAACATGTCTGGTTCAGTGAGATATTGTGCCCTTTGTTCGTTGACACTAGTTACAACAACCTTGGCATCTTATCTCTTTCTCTCATTTCTTGTCTACGACCCATCCATTTCAGTCACTAAAGCTCAGAAATGGTGCATAAAGCCATCTTACATCCACCTGGATACAACTCCATTCTATGCCATGGTTCGTGATTCAGGAGCAACTTTGGGATTAGGAATTTCTGTAGGAATTGTATCGTCAGCTGTAAGGGGAGGGAATTGGAGAGGTTTACGTGTAGGTGTTGGTCAATTATCGCTTCTTTCAGCAAGCCTTAAAGTCATGCTATCAATTTTGCTATTACAGCTATTAGAGGTCATATCTTTGCCAAAATCAAGTGCTTTGCTATTTTATATGGCTGGCTATGTTCGATGTGTATTCATTCCCATCATTGTCATTCTTATTGTCCCAATAATTGCAGTGTGGCAGTGAAGTAATGTAATGATAATTTATATTTTTGAAATAATGGAACGTTAAGTAATAAAATTTTATGAATTTGAAGAATTAAGTAGTATTTTTTTTTATGATTTTCATTTATTTCAGTATTCACTCTTGTCCCTTAACCCATTCCTTCTTTGCACATTGGATTCTTCCTAAGAGTCAAGCCAGCTACCTTCTTGGCCTGGGGGCTGGGAGAGGTGACTCCCAAATGGATAGAGTAAGGAGTGAGAAAATTAGATTAGACACTGATTTGGGTGGGGTTCAGGCTTTATTTTAGCTCTAACAGAGTCATAAAAAAAACTCCATAATAGCAAGATGTTGACATTGAATGCTGTCTGACATGTCAAGGAATAAGTGCGCTTGGTTTGTTTTACATAGATATTATACTCAAAACCTTAAGGGTACAGGAGCTGATTACCCATATCCCTCCTTAGGGTAAAAATATTGCCTTTCTGTCCCATCTAAGCGAGACTAAAAATTAATGTGCAATTTGCACTCTCTTCCCCTAAGCAAGACGACAAACACACTGCCATCTCCTCCAGGCTTCTGGATAGCCTAAAACTAGTACTTAACGATCGCCCACCCAAAACGTCCGTATTATTGCGTGACATTGTGTGCGTGACATCGTGCTTGCGCGGGAGGCTTGGATCGGAATGCTGTAATTTCGATCCAGTGCCTCGAGACGCCTTGAATGGTGTGTCGGTGCTCGTGAAATACACGCAAGCGATGGATGTAAGTAGCCCAAAAGCTTTCTTCATATCCATAGAAACCCTGCTCGAGAATTCACTGCTGTTTGTTTATACTGACACAGGGCCACACGGGTGATAATGAGCGTAAAAAACTGTGGGATGAATTAAGTAGAGGCATAGAACATTCGCGTTTGGTGGTTGTACATTTGACGAAAGGCAACGAAGGTGAGCTTGGACACGTTTTAAGGCTTTCGTTCCTTGACTGTGAGTAATTAACTCTGATGAGTTTGGCAAAGAGAACTAAGATGCATCTATTATCCAGATCGTAGTCTCTTTTCTATTCATTCGCGAGGGTAGCGCTTTGTTTTACACATGTGCGTGTTTTTGCGGTTTCAGAGAATGAAGTTCTATTTATAGAACTTATCTCTCATTAGAAGGCAAAAGCTTTGCATTGAAATGAACAGGTCAGCTTGCGATGATCTGATCTGACTGTCAGCGATATAAATTCTGCGTAAATTAAGGTTTCGATTTGATAATATTGGTGAATAGACTATTAAGACTCAAAATGACTACACTTTTAATCCACTTAGATAATAATATTTTGCAATCCAAACAATTAGCATTTTTTACTAAAATTTATTGTGGAAGCTTTTAAATCATGCATTTATAAACAGAAATGAAAAATTATTTGTAAGTTAGGAATAGCTAATAATTATATCATTGTCTCAACTCATTATAAACCTCAGTCAAAATCATTAAACTCATTAAATCATTTTTGTGGTGAAAATTGTTGGGCTTTTAATTTTTAACTGTTTGCTGCCATTTGAATTTTGTGGCAAGTGCATAGCCTGAGTTTCAGCCATCTTTGCGCGTCGCAAACTCTCTTGGGAGTTTGGGACTTGTTGAGAGTAGAAAGGTGGTGCCATAGACCTTTGCCGCATTCTCGTAAACAAAGGCACCATCTCAAGACTTGGGTTGACAGATTATGGTGGTTTGTAGTTTAGTACCCAGGTGTTGACCTTGTTTCATTGTGTTTGCTCGGTGGAGCAGAATGTGTGATCAACTAACAGTAAACCATAAAATGGCAAAAAGCAATAACTTGTTGTGTTTCATTGTCAGGCTTCGGTTTTAACATTCGTGGTGGAGTGGATCACCCTCACGTTGGCTCAGACCCAGGTATTTTCATAACCACAGTCAAGGCTGACAGTGTAGCAGGCCGAGATGGGAGACTGGATCCTGGTGACAGGATATTGGCAGTAAGCAACAATTTTTTTATACTTTTAAATCAGTTGTAGTTATAGGTACCATAAATGATCTAATGGATGCCCACTCTCAAATAAATGCCTCTTGTATGTTTAATCCCTCGTGTACAATCTTAGGTTTATATTGGACACCCCGAGCTCTGATAAATGCCCCCTCAGGGTGCAAAGAAAGTTAGTTTTACAGCTTGCCATTTAGGCAAGCTGTAGCTAGCATGTACTAGCCTAAGGGGCATTTTAACTGTCGCAAAAAATTTTTTTGACAAGCAGGATCGATTACAATAATTTAATTTAAATTCCCCAATAAAACTTTACTTGCCCATTGGGCAAGTTAAGAACAAAATCTACTAACCCAAGCAAAATCCACTAGCCCTGGACTATCAGACACTACTTTCTTTGCATGCTGCCCTGTCTAATAGACACCCCCTATGGCAATTACTCCAAAATACTAGGAGTTAGCAAAAAGGAGCAAAATCATTCAATTTATTCAGTTTTTTGACTGATTAACAAGGGGTCGCATAATTATTATATCTTGTTCAATGTCAAGTTCAGAGTAAGGATAGGCCAACGATGACAACACAATAACACTGAATGATGATTCTGACATTTTGAGATTTGAAAGAGCGATATGGATCTCTAGACATCCTAGAGATAGATAGATAGACTGGATATTCCTCTATTTTTAAGCTCTCTTGATATTTTGGCCGAAAGCATATAAGTTTTGTTGAGCTTCTAACAGTTACGAGAATAAATGTCTCGCTCTATTAAATTCCCCCTGTCTATTAAACGCCCCCTTTTGGACCCCTAAAATTGAAAAAAAATGCCCCAGCGTCTATTAGATTAGCTATTATTCAGCCATCTTGACGCAACAAGAGGGCAATTCAACAATGCTAAACAGATTGACCATCCACCACAAACAGTGAATGTAAGTGGACAAAGCAGGCTGGGCTAATGTGGCCTTTTATAAAATATTTTTTTGCTCTTTCACAGCTAAACGATGTTAGACTGGATTATGTGACGCATGATGTGGCTGTCAATGAATTTCGCAAAGCAGATGAAACTGTCTCCTTACTGGTGGAAAAGAATGCTGAGGCTGTACTACTGGTCAGTAAAGAAATCATGTAGTAGTTTTAAGTTTTTTTGGCCTTTTTTTGTTTTGTTTTGTTTGTGTTTGTGTTTGTCTTTTTCACTTCTATATGCATATATTTCTAAAAGAATGTGTGCATCAAACTTCAGTTTAAAAGGTAATATAAGGGCCTCTTTACATGGAGGTGGAGTCTTCAGGCATTTGAGGTAACCTGCTCTAGTGGGGTACAGGTGTACATATGTAAAAAAGTAATCTAATCAATTTTTCTACCCTACTAACTCGAAATCCATGGGATAGTTAGTCTTTGAGGTATTTCCAATCAACGTAAATAAATTTCTAAATTGGACAAATTGGTTCTTTACTCCACAGTCACCACGAAGCTCAGGACTTGACTCACCAGATGTATCCTGGGAAGATGGGCCCATTAGGCTTAATCCTGTGAATGAAGAATCAGCTAAAAATGAACTCTTTGGTCTTTTAAGACGGTTTTATGAATCAGAACTAGGAGCTTTATCAATTGGGTTAGCTATTGGTGGTCTAGCTGTGTTCGTTGCCCTTAGAATATATAAAGCCAGTAAATTGTGACCGTAATGACTAGTCAAAGGCTGTGCTTTAGCAGAGCCCGGTGGCCCATGGCGCCTAACTTTTGTTCTCGGGCGACTAGAAAATCTTTGCTTTTTCATAGAAATCATATGCTGGGCACACTGGATTTCACAAGATCAGAGCACTGGGCTCCCTTTAATTTTTCTTAGAGCACAGCCCTGTAGACTGTCTGTACAAATATTATGCAAGGCCAGAAAGACAGGGCAAAGTCGAGGTTGTTATAAAAATCATACAGTTGAACCTCCACAACAGCCACCAAAGGTCAATGTATGGATTATTTGTTCACCAAGACAAAAGAAATGGTCATTGTAGGGAGGAGGAGGATGTAGAGAGATACCTGTTAGTGGAGGTTCAACTGTATTTCTTAGTTTACACCAACTTGTGATAGATATATTTAGGAGAGAGAAAACTTTTTATTGACATGCATTACCATCTCAGGCAGTTCAAATCAGGTTTGTGTAAGACTGAGGCTATAAGTGAAGGAGTGTGTAGATTAAGTTAGTGATTCCTCTTCCTACTAGGTTTAACTACTCCCTTTGATTTTTAAGGTCACATACAGACCCTGTTAATACGGACACTGAGGGGGCCATATAAAGTGTCCGTATTAAGTGGGTTGAATTAATTTAGAGAGAAAAATGAAAGATTTATAACACGACATCTCGGGCCTCATCACTCCCTTATCAAGTGAGATGTGAATAATATTACAATCGCACAAATGCAAGAAAATGGATAATCGAGTCATTAACAGTCCGAAACGTTGTGTTATAAATCTTTCATTTTTCTTCTTGGTTGCTTGTTTTAACAAAACTCTGCTTATGAAATTATTATTATTATTATTATTATTATTATTATTATTATTATTATTATCTTTATTAGAATGGGGTATGGTTTTCCAGGAACTGATCAATTGGTTGAAGATTTTAGTCTAGAATAGAGGAACCTGAAATTGACACTTGAGAATAAAAATTGAAACCCACAGATTAAATTTTGCCTGCAATAACTTTAATAGCGAAGAAAGCATTGACTTTAGTAGTTTCAGGAAACCAGCGACTCTTGGATAGGGATGGAGTTTAGAAGTTAGTTTAAGCTAGTATAGGATGGCAAAATTCAGCTATTAGGTCTGCTATAGGCTAAGGGTTCTAAGATCCCAGCAGCACATCCCCACCCAAAAATTCCTCATTATCCATCAGCTCATAGGTAGTAACTAGAAGAAAACCCTTTCCTGGCCATCATCATCATCAGTCCCTTTTATTTCTGATGGAACGTAGGTCCTCCACTAATGCTCACCATCTGGCTCTATTTTGAGTAGAGATGTGTACTGTGTACTTCACACCACATAAGTCCTGTCGGCTCAAATCATAGCATCCTTGTGCATCTGCAAGTGTGTTGGGGTCTCCCCTGTCGGTTCCATTCAAGAGCTCTCTTGGCCACATGCTTGTCAAGTTTCTTGGCCAACAAGTACAAAAAAAATCGCCAACAAGTTTTCTCTTTGCCGAACTGTAAACTTTATGGTGGACTTGAGACTACATGTAAGACTGTTTATTGAAAGAACGTGTGAGTGTTATTGTTATTTTATTTTAAGTTTCTCTTGTACTTCACCATTTTATCCGAAGAGTTGAGTGCAGTGGTATGTTGTGGAGTTCTAACATTTGAGTCTGTGTTCCCAAACCTTATCAGCAGGCTGATTGTAGCATTCAAATTCATGAAACTTCTGTTGGATTTGGATTTGGATTTTCTTAAGGTGCTGGGAGAAAACGGTTCAAGTTAGAGTAGATTTTTTTCCTTGCGTCAAAATTTGTTCTTTTCTCATTCTCTTGTAGGGAACTGTATTTTTAATTCAAATTTTGTTTTAGAATTTACTCCCAAATCCATGATTCCCTGTTGGTATAAACACTTCACCAGAAAGCACCATCCTAGTTCTGATTTTTTGTAAATAACGTGACACCTAGATATTGTTTCATGCACAATGCAGGGGCACCCATTACGACTGTTCTCTCTAAAATATCTCTTCGGGGAAGCAAATATTGCCTTGCATTTTCTATTACTTAAGGACGGATAAAAATTTCTAGATGACTGTTCCATTCGTGTACAATTTTCGAAGGTTATGTAGTAAGTTAATTTTTTACATTTCACTGCCAAGGTTAGGCTGTTTTTCGTAAAAAAGGAAACCTAAAGGAATGAGAAAAATTCTTTCTTTAGTAATACGTTAAATTGCTGTTTGTAATTTCGAAAAGACTCGAGTTCCCCTGGATGACCGAACAGGTACAACTTTTGTAGCACTTCTTAGAATGCATTTCTAGAGATGTAAATTAAGTACCTAGCCTAAAAAGTGTTTTTAATGTATTTAGGAAGAAATTGTAGTTGGGTGCCCCTGACAATGCTTGATAGCCTGCAAATACAGCCATCTCCCCTTTTCTTCCTCGCCCTTAAGACATTTCGCAGGAGAGATGTTTGCGCCTCAACCACAGAAATTCCACACTGAACGGCGAAACGTGCCTAGCGGTGAGGAGGGATGGCTGTATTCGCAGACTAAATGTTCAATATTTGTAAAACAGACAAGAGATTCCATAGAATTTAAGAAAATTCATAATATTTTGGGAATAAAGAGGCAGACACTTATCATTGTCTTGTGTTCTTAATTTTTCCTTCACAGAAACTAAACTATATGAACATCGATTCGTCTTTTCCCTCTTACAGCAGTTGGATGATCTCTTTTAATTATTTTTTTTTAAAAATTTCTAGATGACTGTTCCATTCGTGTACAATTTTCGAAGGTTATGTAGTAAGTTAATTTTTTACATTTCACTGCCAAGGTTAGGCTGTTTTTCGTAAAAAAGGAAACCTAAAGGAATAAGAAAAATTCTTTCTTTAGTAATACGTTAAATTGCTGTTTGTAATTTCGAAAAGACTCGAGTTCCCCTGGATGACCGAACAGGTACAATTTTTGTAGCATTTCTTAGAATGCATTTCTAGAGATGTAAATTAAGTACCTAGCCTAAAAAGTGTTTTTAATGTATTTAGGAAGAAATTGTAGTTGGGTGCCCCTGACAATGTTTGATAGCCTGCAAATACAGCCATCTCCCCTTTTTTTCCTCGCCCTTAAGACATTTCGCAGGAGAGATGTTTGCGCCTCAACCACAGAAATTCCACACTGAACGGTGAAAAGTGCCTAGCGGTGAGGAGGGATGGCTGTATTCGCAGACTAAATGTTCAATATTTGTAAAACAGACAACAGATTCCATAGAATTTAAGAACATTCATAATATTTTGAGAATAAAGAGGCAGACACTTATCCTTGTCTTGTGTTCTTAATTTTTCCTTCACAGAAACTAAACTATATGAACATCGATTCGTCTTTTCCCTCTTACAGCAGTTGGATGATCTCTTTTAATTATTTTTTTTCTTCAGGCGCGGATCCACACCGCGTTTCCACCGTTTTACGGAAATCGGCCAGACTTTTCGTAATAGTTAAATTTTAAATCAATTAAAAAAATTCTCCAAGTTGCAAGGCTTCATTCAAGGTGAATTATCCTGTCTGAAGGCTTGAAACCCAGGAAAGGGGAATTAGGGAGTTAAAATCTAAAAAAAATTTCCCGGGGGAGCATGACCCCGGACCCCCCTAGAAGCTTGCGCCCTCGGCGCTCGTTTAGGAAATCGCTCAGTATTTATCCTAGATCTGCGCCTGTTCTCTGCTTATTTTGTGGTGAGACGGGGACGTTTTCTTTCCTGGAAAAAAAAATGATAATGTTTATTTCAACCAAGAGAGGAAAATGGAACAGGGAGGAATTCTTCGGGCGCTTGCCGCGATATGTAAATTTAGGTAAAGTTATTTTCAGAGGTTGTAATTAAGTGACGTCAGCACATTTGTATCGATTGTTTAAAACGTCATCAAGTCCACGCACGACTGCCTCAAAGCAAACAATTAAGAATATTGTAATTTTAAATGTTGAATTCTCTCTTGACCACACTGATTAAACGTTTGTGGACCTCTCGGGAAATCAACTTCCGATTAATTTCAAGACTTGGTCTAAAAATACGTTTGGTGAAATTCACATGACCCAAGGGCTAGACTGGGCGCATCCTTCTCTGTCACATCATTCTCTCTTGTTAAAGAATGCATGACATAACTTCAAGGTTTAAGTTGTAAGCTGGGGCTAAAGCCAAATTTACGCCAGTAACCTTTTCCTATGAAACGCTCATCGTTGATAACGAACTTGCTCTCTCATCGATGGGAAAACTCGACAGGTAGAGCATTTTTGCCATTTCCATTTTTTTAAAAAGCCATTTTCAATTTTTCCGACTTATAGATCCTTATACAGAAAAAAGCAAAACGGTCCACGAAAATCTTTCTCATATCAATGCAGAGTTAGGCTTTAGTACGACCTTTTTTGTCTTTTCTTATCAAGAAAGCTGTCACGAGTTGCCCTATTTTTCGGAATAGTCTGTTGTCACTTATGCAACCAATCACTTCGACTCCCCTAGTTCAGACTTTCGACCTGAAGAAAAACTGCCCGCACTCGGTCTAAGGGTACAGTAAAAACCCGCCACTAAGTACCTGGTATTTAAGAACCTGTTAGGCTAAAATTTGCCAGTTAAGCCCCCTCTATACATGAACCTGTGTCGCCTAAAATTCATTGAAACAGGTTCATAATTTTTATAAAATCCATATAAGAATTCTGTACAATTGGGAAAATATAAGATAAGTCAACATACAGGATCCTCTTTGGAGACATAAGTGCCTTGTCACTGCAAGGAATGTAATGGTATGCAGATTTTGTATATGGAAATAAGCTGAATACCACTGAATGCTCTTACATAGCTACAATGTATTTTTTTTCTTCTGAAATTAAGAACCTAGATAAACTAAATTTATGCTCAGAATTACCATTTACGTAAGATCCTGTTTAGGCTAACTTGGGAAAATGTAGGTTCTTAGTCGCGGGTTTTTACTGCATGTCTACTCCATAACGGACAGCCTTTTT